CCTTTTTTTTTTTCCAGTGCATTCTTAAATTTAATTCAATTGGATTTATTCTCTTTGGGGACCTTATAATTTAGTCTTTTATTTCTAGGCTGCTTTTATCTTCCTTTTATTTCATAAGTGTGATTAATTGTCCACTTCTAAGTTTTTTAGTTTGGTTCTGGTATTTCTCATGTCTGCACATGCTTTTAGTGGTTTTAATTTGTGTTGTTCTCTTAAAGTTTTCCTCTGCTTTGTATTGTTCTCTTAAAGTTTTCCTCTGCTTTATGGCTAGGGAGTAATTTCATCACCTGCAAAGATGTAAGTTTTTGCTTTCTGCTTTCTTTTTATCAAATCATGATGGGATTCAGAGTTGGTTCTGCTAATTTGAGATTATTTGTCCAAAGGGATTTTCCATGCATTTTTTTTCAATTTATTTTGAAAGCACTTGGATTTTTCCAAATTAACAATAACAAATGTTTCAAACTGGGGAGAGGAATGTTATAGGTCATGGAGTGGCTTACCAGATTTCTTTGTCAAAAAGTATCTTTTTCCATTGATCAGTAAAATACAGTTTTTTAAAAAATGATACTTTTGGAAATTCAGTTAAATCATTTTATCTTCTGATTCTGCAATAGGTATTCTTTTATTTCTGTCGTTATTGTTAGGTTGATAAAGTCAATTCTGACCATAAAGACACTATGTAAAACAGAATGAAATACTGCCTGGTCCTGCACCATCATGAAATCACTGCCATGCTGAACCCATAGTTGCAAGCCACTATGTCAGTCCGTCTCATTGAAGCTCTTCTCATGTTGTGCTGACTCTCTACCTTACCAAGCAAGATATCCTTCTCAAAGAACCGGTGCCTTCTAACAACATGACCAAGGTACAAGAGATGAAGTCTGGCCATTCTCACTTCAAAGGAGCATCCCAACTATACTTCCTCCATGACAGATTTGTTTGCTCTTTTAGCAGTCCATGGTACATTTGATATTCTTCACCATCACCACAGTTTAAGTACATCAATTCTCCTGTGGTTTTCCTTATCCATTGTCCAACTTTCACATGCATATGAGGCTATTGATAATGCCCTGGCTTGGATCAGGTACACCTTAGTCTGCAAAGTAACATCTCTGCTGTTTAACACTTTAAAGAGGTCTTTTACAGAGATTTGCCCAATGGAATACTTTGATTTCTTGACTGCTGCTTCCATGGACATTGATTATGGATCCAAGTAAAATGAAATCCTTGACAACTTCATTCTTTTCTCCGTTTATCATGATGTTGCTTATCGGTCCAGATGTGAGGATTTTTATTTTCTTTATGGGGAGCTGTAATCTATTCTGAAGGCTGTAGTCTTTGATCTTCACAAGTAAGTGCTTCAAGTCTTTTCATTTTCAGCAAGTAAGATTGTGTCATCTGTATAATGCAGATTGTCAATGAGTCTTCCTCCAATCCTGATGCTACATTCTTCCTCATATAGTTCAGCTTCTTAGATTACTTGCTGAGCACATAGATTGATTAAGTACAGTTGAAAGGATACACCCCTGATACACACTTTTTGTGTGGATTTTAATCCACACACTATCCTCTTGATTTATTCTAATGACTGCCTCTTGTACAGGTTTCTCATGAGCACAATTAAGTGTTCTGGAATTCCCATTGTTCCCAGTGTTATCCATTATTTGTTATGATCCATGTAGTTGAATAGGAACTCTGATGGTGTACTCGATAAGCTATCTGGAAGCTAACCAGAAGGTCAGTGGTTCAAACCCACCAGCTGCTCTGCAGGAGGAAGATGAGACAATCTGCTTCCATAAAGATTTACAGCCTTGGAAACCCAATGCGGGTCACTATGAGTCAGAATCAACTCAATGCCAGTGGGTTTGGTTTGGTTTTTTATATAGTTGAATGCCCTTGCATAGTCAGTAAAATACAGGTAAACATCTTTCTGGCATTCTTTGTTTTCAGTTAAGATCCATCTGACATCAGTGATGATATCCCTCATTCATCCTTCTAATCTGGCCTGAATTTCTGGCAGTTCTCTTTCTGCATACTGCTACAATTATTTTTTAATTATCTTCAGTAAAATTATAATTGTGTGTGATATTACTGATACCATTTGATAATGTCTGCATTCTGTTGGATCACCATTCTTTGAATGGGCTGCAATATGGATCTCTCCCAGTCAATTGGCCAGGTAACTGTCTTCCAAATTTCTTGGCATAGATGAGTGAGCACCTCTAGTGCTGCATCCATTTGTTGAAATATCTCAATTGGTATTCCAGCAATTCCTGGAGCTTTGTGGTTTTTTTGTTTGTTTGTTTTGTTTTGTTTTGTTTTTTACCAATTCCTTCAGTGCAGCTTGCATTTCTTCCTTCAATACCATCAGTTCTTGATCATGTGCTACCTCCTGAAATAGTTGAATGTCAACCAGTTCTTTTTGGTACAGTGACTCTGTGTATTCCTTCCATCTTCTGTTTATGCTTCTTGCATCATTCAATATTTTCCCCATGCTGCTGTTGTTGTTGTTAGGTGCTTTCAAGTTTTGAATCTCGAACTCATAGCAACCCCCTGTACAACAGAACAAAACACTGCCCAGTTCTGCACCATCCTCACAATCCTTGCTATGCTGGAGCCCATCATTACAATCATGGTGTCAATCTATCCTGCTGAGGATCGTTCCCTTTTTCACTGACCCTCCACTTTACCAAGCCGCAATAGCCTTTCTTCTCCAGGGACTGGTCCCTTCTAACAAATCTGGCCATTCTCCCTTCTAAGGAGCTGCACTTCTTCCAGGACAGATTTATTCATCTTTCTGGAAGTCCATGGTATTTGCAGTGTTCTTTGCTAACACCACAATTCAAAGGCATCAACTCTTCTTTGGTCTTCCTTATTCATTGTCCAGCTTTCACATGCATAGGAGATGATTAAAAACACCATGGCTTAGGTTAGGCACACCTTAGTCTTTAAAGTGACATCTTTACTCCTTAATACTTTAAAAGGTCTTTTGCAGCAGATTTGCCCTGTGCAGTACACCATCTGATTTCTTGACTGTTGCTTCCATGGGTGTTGATTATGGATCCAAGTAACATGAAATCTCTGACAGCTTCAGTCTTTTCTCCATTTATCATGATGTTGCTTTTTGGTCCAGTTGTGAAGATTTTTGTTTTCTTCATAAACCAAAACCAAATTCACTGCCATCGAGTGGATTCAACTCATAGCAACCCCTCCTTGGGTTTCTGAGGTGGTATCACTACAGAAATAGATTGCCCAATTGTCCTTCCAAGGAGTGGCTGGTGGGTTTGAACCACCAGTCTTCTGGTTAGCAGAAATGCCTTTGCCTGTTTTTAAATTTGGCTTGTCTTTTCTTTTTACCCTCGAGTTGCAACAAACCCCAAAACCAAATCCATTGCCCTGGCGTTGCTTCCAACTCATAGTGATCCCCATTGGATTTCCAAATCTGTAAATCTTTATGGAAGTGACTGCCTCATCTTCCTGCCATGGAGCAGCTTGTGGGTTTGAACCACTGACCTTCTGTTTAGCATCCAAATGCCTTACCCACTATGCCACCAGAGTTCCTTTGAGTTGTAATAATATCTTATGTATTCAGGATACCAGACACTTATCAGACATATGATTTGACTGATTGGCAAATATTTTCTCCCACTCTGCAGAGTGTCTTCTTCACTTTCTTGATAATGTCTTTTGAAGCACAAAAGGTTTTAATTTTGATGAAGTTCAATTTATCTATTTTTTTTCCTTTGTCACTGTGGTTTGGGTGTCATATCTGAGATGTCATTGCCTAATCCAAGGTCAGGAAGATTTACACCAATGCTTTTGTATAAGATTTTTATAGTATTAGCTCATATATTTAGGTCTTCATTCATTTTGAGTTAAATTTTTGTGTATGCTGTAAGACAGGGATCATATTCATTCTTTGCATGTAAATATCCAGTTGTCCCAGCACCATATGTTGCAAAGGTGATTATTTTCCCATTGAATTGTCTGGGCACTCTTGTAAAAAAAGTCTTCCATTGTTTTTTGATGTATTTCCACTGATCGTTTTCAAGGCCTACTTCAACAAAGTCTCCCTGATCCTCTAACCAGCAACACTCCTGGTTAGTTGCTCCCCAACGGAGATAGTCTGTGCCCATATAAAAGAGAGAGGTTTTTACTCAAAATTATTCTTCCTGGATTTCCTTGCATTACCTAATGGTATTTTCTCATTTATTTCGTTTTGAAACACAAAGTATTACAGAGGATGTACGTTGGTTTGAAACATCCTCAGATGGTGGTGTTTATTGCTTAAACAGGTTACATGATGGACTCAGGAAAATGTGAAGAACATTTAGCTCAGGTTTCTAATTATTCTTGGTGCTCTGACCATACAATTCCAAATATTGGATGCTATTGTAAACAAGTATTTTAATATGTTCATAGCAGTAATATGTGGGGTCAAATCTTAAGTGTTTGGCACCAAATGTGAATTCAAAAAGTAAAAAATCAAAAAACAGACCAAAATGATGCATGCTAGAACAGCATTAGATGGCACAAAAGGTGCTGCAATGGGAGAGAATCACATGCTGAAGTTGAAGAGTTTGAATAAAATTATTTTACTAGCTGTTGAAAAAAGAAAGCCAGCAGTATATTTAATATATAATTTCATAAATATATTTACACATACACAAAATAAATGTAATAAATAGTATATAGACAGTTGATTATTTTATTTATATTCTTAAAAGATTATGCAATTTTATCACTTATATTGGACTTCTCATTTGTAAAATAGAAGCTTGCTTATGTTTAGAGATGCCACATGAGGCATTATTCTCAGGATAAGCTCCCACTGACAGGATTTTTTATTTCCATGTACCACACAATGTCTTCTACTTGAATGTTTAAGTAGTAGTTATTGCTCTGTCAAATGCATGAAAGTTACTCTGTTAAAGCTCAGACCTTAATAGCCAAGGTCATAAATATGTAAACTCACATACATCTATGTTTTTGTATTATAGGTAGGTGGAATCCACAAGAAAAGCCAGTCCTTCTATAAATCAGCAATTCCGGTTATGAGGCTCTAAGTTGCTGTAAGTGTGAGCATTTGGTGCCTATGGATCTGCTTTGAACCTTAGAGCCTGCTTATGGGGGAAGGTGAGTCACTATATAGTATCTTTTGTTTGCTTGTTTGTTTGATTACCAAGCAAGTATAAAACAGAATCAGACTCATTCTTGACAAATGAAATATGTTCTACATGATACCATGTAGTTATTTCACTCTGCTTCAAACTATCTACCCTGAAGGTACTCTTCTAAATAGTCTTTTGGAAAATCAGGGCTTCATATTTCCAGTAGTTAGGGATCAGGACTGTAGTTGAATACTCTTCAGTTCAGTTCCTACCAAGTACAAGTTCTGGTTCCTCTCTTGGAGCCTACACTGGAGAGCCAAGAAAAGCCAGAGGGAAGCCTAAGTTCTAGGAATGAAGAGCAACAACAGGCAGGGCTGGGCCTCTGAAGGGAGTCTTGGGATGTTTGAAGAGAACGGGTTACAAGAGGCCAGGGCTGGAAGGAGCATCCATGATGCGTTTGTGGTACCCTGAAATTACTCTGTAGATATCAGTACCTGCGGCTTGAGCTGTTACCATAAACTTTTATTGACATAACTACAAGGAAGTAGGCTGAATGAGCAGTTGTATATGGAAATTAAAACATACTATTCTGAGGAATAGGTCAACAAAAAACAAGTATAAATGTCTTAGCATAATATATAAATTTGAGGTATTAGATATATTTTGAACTCTGTATGTTACTTATTAGGAGCTCTGGTAGTGTAGTGCCTAAGACACTTGACTGCTAACCAGAAGGCTGGTGGTTCATAACCCACCAGCCACTCCTCAGAAGGAAGATGGGGCAATCTACTTCTATAGTGATACTGCCTCGGAAACCCAAGGAGGGGTCACTATGAGTTGGGTCCGACTCGATGGCATATAACAACATAACAACAACCACATGTTACTTATTAAGAGTATAGACTCAAAAACCAAAAAACCTCAGCCATCACGTCAGATCTGATTCATAGAGACCCCTCTTTGGGTTTCCAAGACAGTGTCCCTACAGAAGTAGATTGGCCAATTTTTCTTCCGAGGAGTGGCTGGTGAGTTTGAACCACCAGCCTTCTAGTTAGCAGTCAAATGCCTTAGGCCCTATGACACCAGAGCTCCTACAGTATAGACAGCATTTACAAAATTAGAATGTGTACGAGGCCTCAGTAAAGTTTGAATATCTGTAATATAAAGAATATATTCTCCAACCATAAGGTCTCACTCAAAAAACAAAAAAAAACTACTATAAGGTAGTTACATTAAAAATTGAAAATAAAGGATACTTTTTATAAATATATTATGAAATAATTTGTGTTACAAGGGAAATCATAAAAGAAATGAAGGAATTTTAGAACTGACTGATTATGAAATAATTAACAAGACACAGTTAAAGCAATTTTTTTTTTTTTTTTTTTATTGTTAGGCAGTGGTGTTGTTAGATGCTGGTGAGTTAGTTATGACTCTTAGCAATCCTGTGTACAACAGAGCAAAACACTGCTCGGTCCTGCACCATTCTCAATCTTTTCTATACTTAAGCCCATTGTTGCAGCCACTGTGTCAATCCATCTTACAGTCTTCTCCATTTTCGCCGACCCTCTACTTTACCCAGCATGATATCCCTCTCTAGGCACTGGTACCTTCTGACAACATGACCAAAGTACATGAGATGAAATAAGATAGTAAGGATTTGAAGGGCAGAAATAAAACTTTATTTGCAGAAAATGTGATGATCTAAAAAACCTATTAGAACTGGTAGAATAATTTAGCTGAAGTTCAGGATACGAGATTAGGATATAAACATGAATAGCCTTTTTCTCTGTCAGCAATAACCAAATAAAATATAATTTAAGAAAATATCACACTGTTTGTAATAGTAAGGAGTCCTGGTGGCATAGTGGTTAAGTGCTTGGCTGCTAACTGACAGGTTGGTGGTTCAAACCCACTAGCTGCTCTGTGGGAGAAAGATGTGGCAGTCTGTTTCATAAAGATTATGGCCTTGGAAATCCATGGGGCAGTTCTTCTCTGACTAATAAGGTTGCCATGAGTTGGAATTGACTTCACAGCAGTAGGATTCATAATAGTATCAAAACCTCATGAAGTTTCCAGAGCTTAACCTGAGAATGCACAAGATCTCTGTGGCCCAAACCTCCAAACTATACAAAGATAAATATTACCCAAAACAGCAGATTGTAGACTTTGAGAACTAACCAATAGACAAGCTCACTGCCCAGGTCCTAGAATGGGCACTGAGTGGCACACATAAACTCTCAGAAAATTAGAAATAGAAAGCAACGTCCTCACTCTGATAAAGGATATGGTTATCTTAAAATAAATAAATACATTCATGATCATTAGCCATTAGAGAGATGCAAATCAAAACCACAATGAGAGACAATCTTGCCCCAGCACTAGTAGCGAAGTTCCTCAAGACAGAAAATATTAAATGCTGGCAAGAATGCGGAGAGAGTGTATTAGATTGGAACTCTGATACACTGCTGGTGAGACTGTAAAATGATACAACCACTGTGTAAAGTAGTACGATGGTTCCTTAAAAAGTTGGAATTAGAATACCATTTGATCCAGCCATTCCATTACTAGGTATATATCCTAAAGAAGTGAGAGCCAGGACAAGAACAGATATATGCACACCCGTGTTCATCACAGCACTATTTACAATAGTCAAAAGATGGAAACAACCTAGGTGTCCGTCAACTAAAGAATAGATAACCAAACTATGGTACATACACACAATGGAATCCTATGCAACCCTAAAGAATAACGTAGAATCTGCAAAACCCTGCATAACGTGGATGAATTTGGAGGATGTTATGCTGAATGAAATAAGGCAATCACAAAAGGACAAATATTGTATTAGTCCATTATTGTAAAAAGTCAAGGAAAGGTTTATATATGGAAGGAAATTTTCTTTGTTGGTTACCAGGAGTGGGAGGGGAAGGGAGGGAACATGGTTAGATAGGTAGAGACAAGTATTGATTTGGGTGAAGAGAAGGGCAGTGTACCAAATGTGAGTGATAAACATGGTGGCATTGAGGAAGAGGAAGATATAGAGAGGTGCATGGGAGGTACAGACAATAAAGATGAACCCTTTTGCACATAAAGTACTGCTTTGTCAGAGAAGGCGAACATGGATATATGGGTGGATAGATGTGTGGACAGTCTGAACTATTAGGTATGTCTGTGCAGGGGCATGTGTGCCCAAGACTGTGTATAGGGTTGGTAGACCATGTTTCTACAGGTGTATTGGTATGTTCTGTAAGAATTCCCAGGTATATAGTAGAGCTCACAAGGGACAAGGTTGTAGTCACTTCTTGGCCACAGCTAGCTACCCAGAGGGAGCAAGTACTTGGACCTGTGGGCTTGGGACCATAGTCGCAGGGGACATCAAGCTCAATTGGCTTAACATACTACACAAAACATTGTTCCACATCCTACTTTGGTGACTGGGATCTTAAAAGCTTGCAAGCAGCCATCTGGATGCCAGTAATGTATCTCTCCTCATCCAGAGCAAAGAAGAATGAAGAAAACCAAAGATTCATGGAAACAATTAGTCCAAGTGACTGGTACACCATGCAATCCTCAGTGTATATGACTATGAGAACAGAATAACTAGATGGTGCCTGGCTACAACTGCCAACCACTCGGAGGGAGATCTATGTAGGAGATCCTGGATAGAGAGGGAGAACAATGTGGAACAGAACTCAAAAATCGTTAAAAAAAAAGGGGGG